GTTATTTGGAAGAACAATAACTAAGGTTTTCAACAGTTATAGTAAAGCTGAATTAGTAGAAAATCCGGAAGAGTTATGAATGCTTGATTGAATGGCAGGAAAAAAGTCTTTAATATCAAGTCTATATATATTATAATGCAAAACAAATTCATAAGTAGATGACTCCATGTCCGCAGCCTCTTCTTGTAAATAATAAAAAAATGTATAAACAAATAAAAAACTACCACCACAATCCATGAAGGTTCTTGGGTTCAGTACTTTGAGAGAAGTACTGTTACAAGACCAACGGTTGTGCATGGAGGTGATTGGGCGGATATGACGCTCAACCGTCAGTATTTCCTCCTCCATTAATTATTTAATTAAGAGTACTCACTTGAAAAAGGCTGGGTGGGTTTGCCTCAAGAGGGTTTCCTTACCCCACAGTCGATCCACGGCTAATGAAAAATTACTATTCATCTGCCGGATTCGAACCTCTGATAGTCAGTGCTCAGCCACAGGGATAATCCGCTCCCTACAGATGAGGAAATTTATTTATTTTTAAACTCGTTTAGCTTATCCTATAGTTTGTCAGTTCCGGGTGATAAAAATGTTGGAAGAAAATTTTGAAATTTCCCTAAATAAAGGCTTAAACTTCGTCAAAAATAGTATATCCAGTAACAAACTATAGTGATACCGAACAGGATATAATAAATTTAAACTTTTCCCACCTTTTTGACCGTTAAACGTGTAAACATCCTACAAAAACTTTTTCTTCATAATTTTTTTTGTTCTAAACTTGAAAAAAAAAATGTTTTTAAATTCCTCGGATAGCAAGGACTGATATGAAAAGATTATCACGGGGGAAACGGCTTCAGGGCAAACATGGAAGAAGGGTCAGAAGCCACTTTAGAGGATAATATTAATTAAATGGCCTGGTTGGGAAAGCCTGAATAACGTTTTCTGTAAAAAAGGAGGAGGGACGAGAAAAGGGCTAAAAGGGTCCCGCAGGATTAGAAAGGGGAAAAAGGATTGGAAGGATTTATCTAGAATTACAAATAGTGTTAGTTAATCAGGGCTGTGGAGGTCTCCTTCTAAACAATAGCAGTCCTTACCTGCCTCTTCCTCCCCTCCCGTAGTTACCTCACAATGCCCTCCTCACATCTATCCAAAACATCGAAATGAAGACATATTTATTTCGATGTTATAATAGTAATTATCAGGGGGCAATAGATCATAAGAATATGAATAATACGAGCAAAAATTTAGAAACGAAAATAATGATAATAATACTTAAATAACCGATCAATGATTCGCAAATTCACTATCAGAATCCCCTATGGTTTTTATAAATTCCCATTTTGTCACTCAGATTTTTTTTTTTTTCCTTAGAACGAACTTTAACATACCTTCCACTCAAAAGTCTAATAAATAATAGGTAATATTATAAGTCACTACACATTATATTATTAAAAAAAACTATACTACTAAAACACATGAAGGATCTCAGTTCAGTACTACTTATTGATCAATGAATGTGTAAGGAGGTTGTTTGACAGAGATCACGCTAACCCACCACAGGTTCTATCGTTAATTAATTAACTAATTAAGAGTACTCTCTTTATACAGGCTGTGTGAACCTCATGAGGATCACTCGACCCCAAGTTCGATTCACGGCCGATGAGTCAAGATAAATAATTCAACTGCTATCAGCCGAATTCGAACCCAGGACATACTATGGAGGCCAGTCCCTAACAACAGAGCTACCCCTCTCCCTTATATTATATAAAAAAAATATATTAAACTGTGTTCTGATTAGGCTTTGATTGATAAAAATTGTTTCTCTTTTTTTCCCATCCCAACATTAGAGTTTCCGTGAAAAAGGAACCTTTTCACTAAAATCAAACGCTGGTCAGGGCTAAAAGCTATCAAACCAAGGCTATTTTAAAGGTGTTCAGCGTTTATGAGAATCAATCATATTTTAAGAGCATATGTCGTAAGCAGACGCAGTAAATAAATATTTCGAAAGTATAGTTATATAATAATTATTTATTCAAATAATAATAATGGCAGTAATGCTGTATATGGCCCTCCTCAGAATAAAAACTAATAACGCTCTAATGGAAACCCCATTGTCCGAGGTCTGGAGCGGTTATTATGCACATGCAGTTAACGTTCCCATTTTATAGCGCACTAAAACCCAGTTTAGGGTCACACTAAAACCGAGAATACTTGGGATTGAATTACTTCAATGGGCAGGCTGTCTCTCTGCCTATACTCCTGTCCCCATAACCCGGGGTACTTAACTGGAAAACGCATTTATACCCATACGAGTTTCAGGCAAAATGTGATTAAAAACGACCAAGAGCAATAAGCACTATGGTGATTTTTTCTTTTTTTTTTTTTAGAGCAAAGGAAAAAAATATAACAAGGAAGTAATAATTACATCATTTTAAAAAAAGAAAGAAAAGAACGGCATTAATAATTTAGTATGCGTAATATTTAAACAAATATTTATTGAGTAAAATTATAGAAATATCACCATATAAAATTGGTTCAATAAAAAAAAAAATTGCTAAAACATGCTTGTATGTGTGTGGAGGATTGGGGCGTGTCTAACTTAAATGTACTGTGACACAAACTCCCACCATACACGGTACTGTCGAAGTATCTCTCGTCTTTTATTTAGGCTTTAAGGCATAAAACCCCAGGGTCACCAACGCCTGTGAGTCGCTTATATTTGTTAACTCTTTAGAGGGGAATTAATAATTAATAATAGTTAGAGTAATAAATGAAAAAGATATTTAAAAACATATAAAAATGAAATATATTAAAATAAATATAAAGAAAGAAAGAAAGAATAATAAATTGAAAATTGTCACCAACACCTGTGAGTCGCTTATATTTGTAAACTCTTTAGAGGGGAATTAATAGTTAATAATAGATAGAGTAATAAATGAAAAAGATATTTAAAAACATATAAAAAATGAAATATATTGAAATAAATATAAAGAAAGAAAGAACAATAAAATAAAAATTATATTTATTTTTTTATACACTCCGAGGCGTCTGAAAAGAAGATGGCTTCAAGATCTCCTTTTGTAAATACATTTTTAGAGTGCTACCAGTGGGTAGTTTCTCAACAAGTGATTTAATGTTATTATATTCATTTGTTCACATTTACTGAATGTATTTTTACTTGTAATACAGTTGTAAATATCATCAATAAAAAAAAAATTCTATATTTTATTTAATAGCCTATGGATTTTAAGAAATTCTTTCACTGTTTTTATGTTTGATTGGTTGTTGCTTATTACTGCTGATATATTCGGTTTTAGAGATAACAGATTTAGGCTTGAAGTATAATAAGTGCATTCCTGGAAAATATAATTGACTGTGAGAACGCTTGTCTCAGAAGGTATTGAGAAACCTAGAGAGACAAGAATAGAGGTAAAAAAAAAAAAAAAAATCCTGTATACTGAGCTTGCATAAAAAAAATGTAATCAATATTAAAGTTAAATTTTTCAATTACCTTAATTCAACGAACCGCATGACACTTTCGTAGAAACTCAATACATAATCAAAATTACCTACGCCCCCATCGCAAAATGGACTATCAACTAAATGTCGCATATTATTGTCTGTTTTCGCTGTCGATGTACTTATCCGAATATGAAACTCTTACTGATTTGTTAAGCTGAAAAGAAAAATTAAACGAGTCGCTTTTTTTATTTTATTTTTAGTTAACCGCACCAAGTTGGCCTCTGGCGTGTCAGTAACAATTAATCAATTGCATTATAACTACGACTATCTCGATCAGATTTAAGACATATGTTAGAGGTATTTCTATTGGAACAAAATAATTCAAAACGTTTTATTGATTGAATATTTCACTTTGAAAGACAATTGGATATGATCGAAAGTAGTTAACTAGTAGGATACTCTTAGGCTACCCAATTTCGTAGATTTTTAAAACTACATACTCAACCATTGACCATTAAACTATATACCATCTTAAACAACAATTCATTATAAATCACCAGTACTTATCAGATCGAATACCCTACAATTAGACCTACTTTGATGAGAGAGGGTCTACTTCTTGGACACAGTTATAGCGATGAGGCTTGGTATTATTAAGATAACTGGAGATGGGGAAGGGGAGTGGATTGGGAATCGACTGAGGTTATTATTTCCGAGAGAACAGGCATCGGAGACAAGAGATGCTAATGAGACCGACTCTAGTAAGTTTGCCAATCTGGCGGGGGGCCAGCCTGCCTCTGTAATAGACCCCCCCAACCATCTACCCCTCTGCCCCCAGTCGATGAATAAGAAACCCTCCGGTATTAGCCTTCTAATCAACTTAAAAACTTCTTACTGTCTTACTCTTTTTCCTTTTCGTCCTTAGTTTTTTTTTTTCTCCCCTCTCTCCCTTTCCCACCATCCCTTCGCTCTCATAGAAGGTTAATTATTCAAAAGCCTCCACCCACCTCCCTCCCGGGGCCAGGTAATAATTGTGAATATAATGAGATTTCCTCTCACCCGGCCTGCTTTAGGCTCAGATGAAAATTACTTTCCTAATATAAATGAACCATTGCCTAAATCTGCCCTATTTAGCATTTCCTAAAAAAGAAACTGGGAGAAAGGGAGGGAAAAAAATTGCCTGAAAACACAAAAGAATTGAGATGGGATATTTTAAATGCTCAACTTTCAACGGTAGGCTAAAATTAAAAACCAATTGTGGGCAACATTGGTACCATAATTGGTAGAAAATTAATGAAGTTTCTATGAAAATAATAGAAATATTAAATACATCAACGTAACCCATATAAATACTAAATATACTCCTGAGTCTCTCATCTGTGGATAGTTCAATGCACATAATCCCAAAAGGTCCGACAAAACAGCTTAGGTTACTGGTTTTCTATCTTACTGACCCTTACTAAACTAGAGGATCAGTAAAAGGTCGAATCTTCTGTTCTCATATCACTGTAAGTTTATTAAACACTTAAAGGCTACATCCTATGAAATCAATTCCGGCAAAAAAGAGAAACAACGTGCGGGAAAGTAGATATGAAGAAAAGGATATTAGGATAGGAAAAGGATGGAGAAGACAGGTGCATCAAGGAAGGACGGGTAACCACCTGCATGATGACAGTGTCATGGTACAACCACCTTACTGCCATCCTCAGGAAATAATGTTTTTTATATCTCAGTAAGGTTCACCACACTGGGTAGGAGCTCAACCCTTTGACATTAAGCATTACGAAAATATCAATAAACTGTTCAAATGATAGATAAGCAATAAAAGGAAAACCATTTTTTTTTTTTTTAATATATAATAGAGGTATTCATACAACTAGTGCTAAGTATAGTAAACCTCCTAAATGTCTAAAGTCGAGTAAATTATTTAGGAAATGTTTGTTAAATATGACCGATAGCAATCTTGATTTTAACGGTAGAGTAAAGGAGTCCAATAGATATCGAAGGGAAAATTTAGAAAATGTCGAACTTATTTATCGATAACAAATATAGTAAATGCAACAAAATGATACAAACTTTTACATATCACATGTGGAAATGTTCTCATTGCACAGAGTGAAAATTTATCAAAACACATAGTCATTTAATTTTATGAAATTTAGTTACTGTCCTCAAGCAATTAACCGACTAAATTAAATTTTTAGAAGATACCATTTCATTCTATTAACTTAGTGAAATTGATTTGCAAGTATTGTTGGGTACTATTTTATTTTCTATAAAATTTCTTATAAAGTTCGCAATATTTTATAGCCTTGTCATAGGTAGCTAAAATAGCCTTGTCATTTGTAACTTCCAATGAGCCAATGTTATTTTGATTTGCCGTTAATATCCTTCCTAATGGACCAATCAGATTCAGGTATGATGATACTCGCCGCTGATTGGGCTATAGAAGGGGCGTAATGGAGTTCATTCACTCCATATTAATTCATTAGTTTCGCCCTCCTCTCTAGTTAGTCTTGGCCCTGTCTTATTAGTTTAGTTAGCACAATTTCCTCCTTAATTTGTCATGTTTGTCTTCTTCTTAAAGGATAGCTTCATCTTTCACTTCATCCTATAACAAATTAAAGAAGCCTTGCCTGGATGAAATGTGATATCACTGAGATATTCAATTCATGTAAGGAAATGTAATATGCAGATAAATTATTTATTAACTTATGTTAAAGGTATGTAATTACGTTAATTAGCGTATTCTGTTAGAAGTTTTCCTTAAAGGAACTATAAGTTTCAAGAGACCTACTTGATATATTGTAACCGTTACTTCGCGTTCCTCGGTTCCTGTTACCATGATATTTATAAATAATTTTAACCGAAGGTATATTTTTGTTTGTCAATATTTTCTGCAAATGGTTTCAAATGCATGATTTATTTCAACTCTATTGGTCACGTAAATCGTTACATGCAGCAGTTATAATTATTCCTATTCGTATTTTACAATTATATATCGTGCTTCCTTCAATCTGATTAATGTGGATGTTTAGTGGTTTTGTTTCGTGTTCTATTATGTGTGCTCATAAGTAGTATATATAGATAAATATCCGTATGTATTGGGCGGACTAGTCATGCACAAAACATTTAACGTGGAATATCTCGATACCGGTGAGTAACGGTGACTCGTTTTTTTGCCTTTAATGGAAAGTTTTCATAATTTGATTTATATTTTATTTATTGCAAAAATACGTGTGTGAACAGCCCTAGCACGGAACCAAAAAATGAAACGTATCCGAAATTACGTAACTAAGGTATATACATGCCTTGGATGTTATAGACATTTTTTTGCCAAAATCAACAACCGGAAACGGCGCTTTATTTCATAGACTTTGCACATTGTTACAATTTTCTCGAAAACGGCTCATAAGAATTTGATTTAAATTGTTATATCAATATTAAATGAAGTGCTGTTTCTAACAGTCCCTCAACACCGAATAGCCCTAAAGTGCCTTTAATTTATAATTATTTAAAAAAAAATAACGGTTAGTCATAGATGTTAACTGCTAAGTCGAAAACAAACGAAGGCGCCCGACTTTTCACGATACTCCTTCATTTAAACTACTGACGTATGTACATTGTTAGTTTAACAAGTTTTGCCGGAACAAGGGCACTTTCAGGTGACAAGACATCAAACATTTTTTTACACAACTTGAAGTGAATCTGAACCTATTCCGTAAAATCCTCCATTTAAAACATGATAAGAAGGATTTTTTTTTTCAAGTGGGGTCTGTAGTACAGTTGGCGGGTGATAACATAAATAAATCGGAAATCATTCATGATTTTTTAATAAACTAAACTTAGCTTAGTTTATCCGTTCAGAAGTCCTCTTTAAACAGTTTTATTTGGAACCCCCATACCAGACTACTGCAGCACTTACTAGACAAACGCTCTGATCTTCCAACTATTTACAAAAGACTCATATATATTAAGATCTATATAATATATAATAAGGTCTCTGACTTACGAGATCGAGTTTTGGGGCTCTACTAAACCATTAAATTATACTCATATCCAATCCCTACAATCCAAAATCCTTCGTAAAATCCTCAATGCTCCCTACTTCGCAACAAATAAAATAACCCATAACGACCTTAATGTATCATATGTTTCCGATCTAACTCAATCCAGATACCTATCCTTCCATAATAAACTTCTAAACCATCCGAACCCTCTTGTTTATAATCTTGCTTCCTCTTCTATTCCTGATAACCCTCCGAGGCATCTGAAGAGAAGATGGCCTGGGGACCTTCTAATTTAGAAATATAATTGGAGTCCTACCAATGGGTAGTTTCTCTTTAGGTTGTACATATCATGTTATTTGTTTCATATTTACTTGTTGTATTTAGCATTTAATACAGTTGTAAAATTCAATAATAATGAAAAAAAAAAAGTTTTAACAATGAAAAATTCTTCTGTCATTTGATGTAAATTAGTCTGGTTTACTAATTACTTAAATTACATATTATTTTAGTAATCGCTTACTATTCAACTAAAAACGTGACTTCGGAAATTCGTCAAATTCGGATTATTATTTATATCAACTTTTTTGTAGTTTATATATGTATTTTTTAAATTTGTCTAGTCGACAAATATATATTGGTTTATGAATTGTATATTTCTTTTCATATACATTTCAATAAATATTGGGATCTCCCTCTCCTCAGTAAGTAAATAACACGCTGAGCAATAAGTAAATAACAGTTGAGAACAAAGAACAACTCGACCACTATGCTGGTGATGCCTAGATAAAGTAGATACAATGGACCAAGTGGGACAAACATCCCCCCAAGAAGGAAGGCTAAGGAGGGGGAGGGTTGTTAGCAGGGAGTGGGACAATGGACGGACACTAAGGACTCGACTACAATACCATCGTCGTTACCAATGTTTACAGGCCGATAACGCACTCACCTATTGTCGCCCGCGGGCCACGGTATCTGATAAATCGCTTCCTCTGCCTCGACTCTCCGAGATCGCGGGACGGAATAATCCAGTATCGGAGCTCTTCCGGTCGATGCCATTTCCTGCAATATACACCCCCTCACCCGCCCCAAGGGAACGGCAACAGGGAATGGAAAAATTACACTCTATTTCCTGAATGATGAATCGGCTTGTTAACGATTCCCTGGCACGCAGTTCCATTTATATGTCACCGAGCTTTGTAGTACCTCAGGGCAGTGCGGTTAGATATCTTAGCAAAACTAAACTACCAGTAAACCGCATTGATTTAAGTAAACTGCATTAATATAGAACAAATCTTTGAAGAATTATATATTGCATATGCAATAGAAGCTAATTGAAAAAATTAAATATTTACCGTATATTTTGAGGTTCGTGTCCATTCCACCGATTACTAGCTAATTCCTTATTTCAAATAAACGATTAAAAGCTCACCAAAAGACATAAAGTAGGTGTTAGGTTATAGTTGAAAAATCCCAAAATGTGTTGCTTCTGTTGCCTAAAATTAAATTAAAGAACAAAATATCCCGTCGACTTTTCGCGAATTTAGGCAACAGGCCAGGAAAAAAAAAAAAAAAAAAAAAAAAAAATGCACGACTACAATCCATGAAGGGTCTTGGGTTGAAAACATGAAATATAAATTTTATTTATATATTTTTAAAACGAAAAAAAAAAAAAAGACAGATCACTTTACTCCATGACATCATTCATACATGTATGTGGACAACACATCAGTATATGTATGAATGTCATGTGAATGTAAGTGATGGAGTGAAGTGGTCTCATTTTTTTTTCTGTACCGATGATGCGTGAATAGATACGGATGGGTTATTCTGTCCTTTTCCTGCAATTTAGATACACAATGCTATTTGTTTGTTTTAAATAAGAAAGAAACATAGATAATTTGCTATTCCAATGATCAATATAGTGAAAAAAAAAATTAATAAAAAGTATACACTACACAAAGTAATACACTAATCTAAACACCTAATTAAAATAAATTAAATTTTCTAAAATCTAAATACTTTTTAGATTTTAGATTTGCTAGAGCAAAAGATAAGATTAAAATACAATGTACTGAAATATGACAGATAAAACAGCGAATACCCAACCCTTCTATCCCACTCCGTTTTAAAATAAATCCAGTCCTGTATGAATGCGTTAGTGAGGAGGAACACTACAAGAGGTACATAAATTGAGAACAAATAATATTATTTTTCTTTTCTTTTCTTAAGAACTTTAACAGGCTATTTTAATTATTTATTATAACTTTTAGAAGTGATAAAATGACATTCGATGAAATAAAACAATGACAAAGCGACGATTTATATTCTAATGATACATTTTAGGTAATTTTATGAAGCAGTGCAAGATAGCTGGATGATAAATTTTACGTTAATTTTAACCCAAATGCTATGCTATAAATAAACCAAAAAAAAATTTATAAAATAGAATTTTGACTATTTATATAACTACGAATATGTGTTTTATAATGATGTAATTTGAAGTATAACAACTTAATTAAACTTAGTTTGCAGGATCTTGAAAATGGCTACTGAAGCCGAAAAGTCGAATAAATAATACATGATGTAAAAACTGTGTACATTTGGTGACCTTTGGCCTAATATTTTAAAAAAAAATAAAAAAAAAATATCAGCGAAACTACAAGATATGATTAGAAAATTTAAAAATACCTTATTTTTGAATAAATGCGAATTCATCGTTTCACATTTATTTTTATCATAACAGAACTGAAAAAGATAATATTTTTAAAATGTTATTTCTAATGCGGAGTAGCTCGCTTATTTCAGAGAATTCATGAATATGTCGGAAAATAAATTCAGAGAATTACGTTGTTAGTTTTTGTTATCAAAGGTAAGATTGCCCTAGCAAATATACCTCTGACACAAACAATATACACAAACGAATGCAATGTTCTCGGTGCACCTTCGCTACACTTGCTCGAATATAAAACCTTCATATCAGATTTCGTTATTTCAAAGTAAATAGACTTTAAACTAGTTAAAAATATTTTATTCGCTGTATCTTTAAATTGTAAGTTTCTTTCTTATAATATTTCCTAGATATTTTTCTTTTGTATACCCTCAGAGAAAAAGTTAATAATTTCATAACATAAATTAACTTGAAAATATATATATATATATATATATATATATATATATTATATATATATTTAAGAGAAACTTCATTGAAATACTTTCGCTAAGAAATAGTAATTAAAATTAGTATTTTATCTTGATTGCATTCATAAAACTATATATACTGGACTATACTATAGAGGATCCATTTTAAACAAAAATATAAAATAAAAAGACAAAACGATATATATAATCACCTGTCACAAGTTCAGAATTATAGATCTTCCCTTAACTAATGAAACAACACCCTAATTTACAACTTACTTTCCTTTCTATGTCGCCCAATATCGCATCTAAACAGAGGATTCGATATTATATTATAATCGAAAAAAAAATATTAATATTAACAAACGTTTTACTTGGAATGAGCATACAAGACTGAAAGGACAATATTTCCGTTTCAAACAAATGCTTTATATATTTCATTAATTACAAAAGGCTTATTTACATGACTATAATAGGGTATGTATGAGTGAGTATACGGAGTTGAGCTTTGAGGTGCCGCCAAACTACCGAAATCCTGTCTTATCCAATCCTTACATTCACAAATATTTCGTAAAATCCTTAATAATTGAATACTATTGTCATTATTCTACCTACTTCATTTTACTTTAATTTGTTTGCCTACTTGATGAAGGCCTGAACTTCAGGTCAAACGTCGGCAAATGTTAAAATAAATATTATTATTTATTTTTTCCTTCTTATTTCTGACTGATCACCCCAACCATCCTTCTCTTCAAAATCCTTGATGCTTCCCATCTTGTCACTAATAAAATCATTCATAGAGATCTTAATGTCGCTGATTTGGACGGATTCAGATATCTATCCTTCTATGATCAACTACAGATCCCACCGAAACCGTTTGTTTCCAACCTTGCAAACTCCTCAATCCCTGATAATCCTTTTAAGTGTCTGAAAAGAAGATGGCTTCGGGATATTCTTACATAAAACTATTTATGTGAGTTATACTATTGGTTAGTATCTCAACAAGTCTATATAAGTGAAATGGACAGGTACATGATGGGTATATATGCATATAAAAAATCTTTTAGACTTGAAAATGGTTCGAACGTCGTAATTGAGATGTGTAATCATTAACTTGACAGTATTAAAAAATTGTGTAAAATTGGCTGAACATAAATAAACTGGAAAATTTATTATATCATTATTCTTGATTTTTTTTTCATATTTAAACTAGTAATATTTATTTATTACAGTTGTAAATTTAATAAATAAAAAACATATTTATTTCTGAACGGATTTATAAATATGATAAAGGAAAAAAAGATAGTTAGTTGGATTGCGGTAAAAAAAATGAAACAGCATGTTAGCATAGTACTGCTTTGAATATGTGATCACGTTTCGGACCAAGTTGTTAACCCCTGATTAGGGTTGATACGAGGACATTAGGGGTCTATAAAATCTGAAAAAGCTTATTAAAGCTTCTTGCGCAGGCAAAATAAAAGAGAATAAAACATATCCTACACCGAGAAAAGGACCCTGTCATTTCCATAAACTCACGGTTAAACGTAAAATAAAGAGAAAAACTGAAGATAGAAGGAGGAGGAGGAGGATTACTTAAAAATAAATCAGTTTCCGCAGCGTAGAGTGGACGGCCAAGTTTCTATAAGAAATAATTGCATAGAACAAAAAGTCTGGAGGAGCGCGAGCAACTTTCCACCAAGCCCATGATACTTTGCATAATTCAATTGTGAAAATTCTCTAACCCCCAGGCCGGGAGCTCTCCAGTAATTTTCTTTTAATTCGCTTTTAATTTGCTCCCCTCGGGTAGGGGTACGTGACCGTGAGAACTCTCTTCACTTTCACATCACCCGAGACCTATTTAGTTTTGTCGCTTTCCCAATTTCCCTCTCCTCATTCCCAATGCTCTTTTGTTTTCTTTTTCTTGATAAATTCCTTGATTGGGGTACAATAGTGCGATTGGGGGAGCTAGAGGAAAAATTACAGTTTAAAAACTGTGCAAAAGTAAATTGAGTAACAGAACAGCTAAGTAAAGACAAGAGGGCAGTGTGGCCGATCAGGCTAACGCGTTGACCGGTAATAAACCGGTATATCGAATATCAGGAGTTCAAATCCCGGTGCTCTGGAAACTTTAAACTCTTGCATTAATCCCCCGCCCTCTCCTTTGTCCGGGGAAAATAATATAAGCAAAAAGGCGAGAAAGAGGAGAACAAAAAAATAAATAAATAAATAAAGCTAAGTATTAACATCAAAAATCAAAGCTAGCAGGAAAAAGTCAAAGCTGCAAGTTGAATAAATATATTTAGTGAGTAAATGTTTGACATCTAGAATTACTAATGACACTTTCATCTATTATAAGAAGCTTGTTATCACGTACAAAAAAGTGATTGTGATTTTGATTAAAATTCAGATAAAATTAAAATAAAATTTATTTTAAGTAATAAAAAAAAATATTACTTTAAATATAATGTAATTATGGGCGGCGGAAGTAAAGGACATCATGTCCATTATGTTTAAGTAAATAATTTGGTAACTTAAGAAACAAATTTTAATAGCTCAAATTCTATGTACATTTTTCTAAACTGAAGAAATACAAAAATGGACATGGTGTTCTTTACATAAAAGGTACAGCATTTATTTGTTTTGTTTTTTTATTCTTAATATTTGTAGAGTAGGATTTCATTATTCATTGATGAGTGGTTCCAATATTGAAGAAGACCTACAAATATGGCCGAAACGTTGATATTTTTATAATAGTTTTCCACATCAGTGTGTTTTATTTCAAATATCATTTGACCATCATCAGTGTACTTATTAATACAATCATAATAATAATAAAAGACTTAGGGAACCCGAAGGTTCGATGCCGACACCATCAATTGCTTATTAAAAACCTCCCTCCACCGTTCGCCGTCCAAATCTGGTCCCTTCAAATCGGCTTTAACGCAATCTTCCCACCTTCGCTTTGGTCTACCCCTTGGATTTTTACCATTCGGTA